TTGAAGAATGAAACCCTAAAAATGTAAAGGCATCCCATATTCATGAATTAGAAGATTTAGTATTATTAATATGTCCAAAGTACTCAAAGCTATCTAGAGATTCAATGCAATCTCAACTAACAATATTTTACACAGAAATGAAAAAAAATTAATGTGAAGTCGCACTATACCCAGAATAGCTAAATTAATCCTAAATCTGACAAAGATTTGCTTCTATATTCAAAAGTTACTCTTTACTAATATTTATGTAGTAGTTTCTGAATAGTAATACTAAATTAGAATACTCCAACTGGTAATACATGATAAAACACACCTGCTATATTATGATGATCAGATCAGGTAATGTATACTTAGTGCAGTGCTGAATATGCATCAGTATTAGTTATTATCATTCTCATTATCTAATCATCATGATTTTATTATTACTATTACTACTTTTTACTAAAATAATCATACAAACCAGAATAATAGCTGGGACTTATTGTGAAAACATTATCAACCAAAAAACAGTAGAGTACTAATGAAAATGTATGCAACGTAGAAGCAACATAAAATAATGCATATTAACAAAGATTTTAAAAATCATTTGGGAACTTGGTAGAATTCACAGTCATTAAAAAGAACAAAATTCTACCAATTGCAACAAAATGTCCCCAACTGGGAACCATTATGCTCAGTGAAATAAACTAGTCCCCAAAGGATAAATATCATATGTTCTCTCTGAAATAAGGTAAGCTTCATGCAAAATACAAAGTAAATAGATATTTAAATAAGTATACACATATATTCTAATAGATGAACTGTATAATAGAGATTAGCATTCTGGGAAGTGAAGATACATCACAGTAGGCATCTCTACTCCCAAATAAAAGGAATAGAACACTGAAATATACCTTGATAATATGACACTAGATTTTCTACCATTGCCTATACCTGTAATGACATGATGCACTTAAATAACAGAATGTTAAATTTGTAACTGTTCCTAAATGACTATACTATTGTAATAATATGGGGGAAAATGGTGCGGAGGGGAAAAGGATGAAGAGGGCAAGGAGGAATACACGTACCTACATAACTGTATCATGGAAAAAAGTAACAATTTAAAAAATAAAATTAGGAAACAAAAAATGATTTTAAAATAATTTGGGAACTTAGTAAATTTCAATGGTTATTAAGAGTCTTTCTATTAATTTGTACATTAAAATTAAAATATATTGTTGCTCAATTTTCTCAAAACCCTTCATTATTTTAAATCTCTGGTTTAATTTGCTAATAAGCACAGGCATTTTGAAAAAGCTGTTTAGGAAACAACTATAATATCATTGCTGAAGGAAGCTTCCTTCTTAAATGTGTCATGGTTCTTGAAACCACTAACACAGAAAAGTAATTTTAGCATTTGTCTTTATTCTACAACTGCTTACTTTATAATTTCATCATCTTTATCACAGCTTGTATAGTTGCTACAACTCTTTACTAAAGGCAAAGCAATATCCACAAAATCACTAGAGAGAGTCCACCAATGAAACAAAATTGCTATGCACTTCTAATTTCAACTTTTCTCAGTATGTTTTTGTATCTAAGAAGAAAACAGGTTATTGTTTATTATCCATCTTCATTCTAGCACTGAAGGAATCTGATGATAATCACCCTCACAAAGTGATCTGACTTTTGAGTGGCCTATTGAGATTTAAAAAAAAAAATACAGCAACTGCAGGAGGAGGTCTAGAGTATGCAGCAATACAAAAGAGAAGGTGGCTGGTTTATTTTTGTTTTTTTCTGTTGGCACACTGGATCCTCTTCAGGGCTCTACCGTGAATCATAAACATGGGCTGTGGGCTTGTCTGGAGTGGTGGCATCTGTGTTTTTCAGAAAAGACATCCTGCTTCTCGCCCTGGTCATTACTGTACTAGGTTACACAGAACTTTGTTTTTCTATATTCTATACTTCCTATGTAAAATCTATTTTCTGTGTCATCTATTCCCACTATTTGTATATGCCAGGAGTCTTCGAAAAACATTCCTGGATTTGAAATATTTTCTGTGTCAGAATACACTTTTTAACTCTACTTCCCCTAAATTTATTACTCTTACACAGTCTGCACAGAATTGGGCATGAAATACTCAACTAGGTATGTCCTTGAGTCAGCAGGACAGGGTATCACCACTCATCCAGGAAGGATCATGGCAATGTGTAATAAAGATATCATACTTTCACCCTGAACTCAAATCAAGAAGCGACTTCCCGACCTAAGGAAAAGAAACACAATCCTTCGAATTGCTCAAGAGTGGAGACGACAGCTGGGTAGATGGAACACACCAGGAGACAGGTGGCTGTGATTGGAGAGGCATGTCTAGAGCTAATGGATACAAGCCATTTCTGGATTATGATGGTACATCTCTAGCCCACGTAGAGCCCAGGCATACTTAGCTGTCCAAAACCAAGATGTCCATAGCTGGAGATGTCTGAGAAAGACAGCAACAGAAGCCAAATGAAGTAGCATTACTACCAAGAATATTCGTCATTCTCATAATTTACTAAGTCACTCTAGAAAGGACACATCAAACATGTTTTGAAGGTGGTCTCAGCTTTAGCTTTTAAAGATCAACTGGAAGAAAGATCTTAAGGAAAAAATGTTGGTGAATAATAGCACCTCAATAATCTCTTATAACTCACACACTCTGTATCATGTTATTTGAATTTACAAATATAGACCAAAGGTATATACCAAAGCAGGGGTGGTTAAAATCTTTGTAACATGCTTGTCTACTCATGTAAACATACCCATACAAAGCCCAAGATGAGGTTAATGTCACAGACTAAGAAATAATCAACAAAATTTTTTATCGAACTAGTTGGGTAACATACCGTACAGCAAGACAGATTGGGGGGAACATTAAATATACAATAATTATTGATCCTGTGTGTGTCTAAAATACTCCAAATGGGATTAACATAATGAGAATAACAAAGTCCTGTCCAACAAATTTTACAACAGACTTCCAGAGTCTTCACTTACGAAGTGCCCTGTCTAGTATTTCATCATCTATAATTACACCAATATAAATGGGGCTAAGCAAATGTTATCTAAAAACATTTCTTAAATCCTACAATATTTTTGTCAATGCGTATGTTTTAAGAATATATTTTTGACGCAGAATTTCTATTAACTGCATAGTAACATTTCTACTATACATTTGAGTTAATTATACATAAGTTGCCACAAATGTACTTCAGTGAAAAAGACAAAAAACATGGTATGACTGTGGAAAACAAAACCTCGTTAGAATACTGAAATAATTTGCCAGAAAAAAATAATCAAGGTGTTGCGGTTGACATTTGACAGCGGTAGGATAGTGACTGGGACATTTGCAGCAGAGGCTCAAGTGGTTAATTCCCTTCTGCCCGTGTGGGAAACCAAGACTGTGTTCCTGGCCCAGCCCTGGCTGTGGTGGACACCTGAGGATTAAATGAGTAGATGGCAGATATCCATCTGTCTCCCTCCTTCCAACATCTAGGTTTCAAATAATCAAATAATTTTGCTTTTAAAAACTAATTGGCATAGTCAATTAAGTCAACTGCCAGCATTCAATTCAAGAGTGCCAGTTTCTACTGCCTCCACTTCTGATCTACCAGAAAGCTGGGTTAGGAGAAAGCTACTACACCTGGGAAGCACTGGGTGACAGTTCATGTATTTGGGCCCATGTTACTCATACAGGAGACAAAGAAGCTGTTTCTGGTTCCTGGCTTCATCCTGGTCTAGTGCTTACTCTTGCAGCCATTTGGGGAGTGTCCCAGCACCTACAAGCTATCCCTGTGTGTGTCTTTCCTTCTCTCTCTGTCACTTTGCCTTTCAAAGAAATAAACAAGTCTTCAAATAAACAATAAAGGCAGAATGCATTTTAAAATGAAAGATTTTTAAATTTTATTCTTAAAATAACCCATTTACTTTTTGTCATAAGTAAAACATTAATGGCTCAGCACTTTACTTGACTTGCCTTGAAAACTAAAGCATTAATTTTGTGATTAAGATTAGAACTGAATCCTTTAAAATTTTATTCCTAAAGTGAAAGTTTGGAGAATATTTACTTTTGTAACCAGAAAAATATAGCCCTTTAATTGTTGTGATGACTATTTATGGACAGTATATATAAATAAACACAAAGCCCACTCAAAACAAATGATTAAAGATTAGGAAAGTAAAGAGCTATAAAATTAATACAATCAATTTTATAAATGGAAAAACAAAATGATCAAAGTCTCATGATATATCTAGATTACAAGAGATTTTTTTCTCAATATGGGATACAAAATTGTATACATTAGACCCTTTATTTGTTACATGTACAAGGATTCTTATTCTTCATCATTCAGATTTATTTAGACTCTTCCTATTACATTATTTTTATGACTGTGAAAAATCCATAAAGTCGGCTATTTTTAAAAAGAAAATTTACAGTTGGACATTTTATTTTTCCTGTAGGAAGGAAAATGTAGAATATGGAGAATAAATTAAAGCACATACTAAAACTTATACTGTTTCTAAAAATGTTAGCAACCGTCCATAAGAGTCTCTTTGCCCTCAGCGACAGTGCGTGACATCCATAAGCATTCCTCATGCTCGCACTCAGCCACGTAAAGCCGACTCATGACTGATCCTCTCTGCCAAGGACAGGAATCCTGACATGGCACAAGCACAGGGGCAGAGGGCTGGCATTGCCACACAGCTGTTCTGAGCTGTTTTTTTTTTTTAAAAAAAACATATGCTAAAAATATTACCATCTGTTAAACATTAGGACTATCTTGAGAAACTTGGACAAACATAACCTTGACTTAAATGTGCTAAATTTAAAAAGTGCTTTTTAAATCATTAGGCAACTCCTTACTCTCTGAAACTGAAAAGATAATGTAAGCAGCAGTGTAGAGAGATGTGAGAGGAAAAGGAGGCATGCTAAAGGGTGCAGGTGCACGTAGTAGTCTACAGGGCCATAATAACATACCTTGGTCTGTGAGGATGGTTTCAGCACGTCTCTTCCTAAGTCTTTTGTTGAAACTAGGGGCAGGGAGTTCTTAGAACTGGCCTCCTATCAAAGAAATAGAAGAGCAACATTAGAGATGAAAGAAAATTTATCTTAAGCAGAAATTATACGGTGGTGAAAACCCATTTTTAAGGAAGACAAAGCATTTTTGGATTGAGTTGCTCACATTAGCAGTTGGTAGGATTGTAGTGACAATCAAAATTTTTCCTTCCTGGTTGCATTCCATAGTGCAGACATATAAGATGGTACTGGAGAACGTGTAGGACACGTAGTACATACATATTCGCTAAATATCTTATCTACGTCTCCTGTCGCTTTATCACATACACATAAATTCACTTACAAGAAGCTCTCATCTTTTCTTTTCGGAGATGAACAGTTTATTCTCCAAAAAGCCAACCAATAAACTTTAGTTGCCAGCTTTTTTCCCCTTACAATATTTCACAGATGGGTTCTAATCCCTTACATACTCTACTTGAAACAAATTATTCCAGACAATTTTGCAAAGTATTACAGAGCAGCAACAGTTCCTACAAGTATCCTGAGGAAAATTCATATCTTGTTCCAAAACTATCAAATGCCCAAGTTCTTGGTTTGTACGAAATGAACATTTGCAAAAGTCATAGCAAAAATTCTAAGCAGGCAGATTAGATGGATTTGGATAGATTTACTACTTATTTCTGTATGATCGACAGAAATGATAATCTTTGTTTTTGGTCACCAACATACAATCCCTCTTCTGGGTAGCTACTAAACTGAAGAAACTTTTCTGCAGATGATTCCATTGCTAAATTAAGACAGAGTAAATCAGTTAGACAATCGCTGAGAAGGTAAGTTATACTTCTTGTACTTGTTCCACAACCTTGACCTCTATATCCCATTTCTTCTCCACCTTGTTTAAGATTGTATAATCTGCATTATGGGTTTCTTTTTCCAGTTTATTTTGGGGTTAAACACAGTCTTTAAAACAAAATCAAAGTCTACAGAATTTATAATACTTCTGAAATCACACTGAGTTATTTCTAAACGGAACAATATGGTGTTAGGATAAAATGTCTCTATGGAAAACAATGCTGCTTCTCACTGTTAATGAATCTTGGCCCTCCTGATACCTCTCAGGCACTGTGCTAAAAACGGTCCATTCAAAATGCTACCCCCCACCGCCCCCCAGCTTGCTTGCTGAAAGGATAATATTCAAGACTAACATGGGCGAGTCTGCTCTGTGTCCAACAGGACTCAGAGGGTTCTGTGTAACTTTCACACCTGAGTTTCTATTTCCTTTGTGTACTACTTCTTATTTTTATTATAATAATCTCTTGAAGAACCACTGAATCATTTTTGAAGGTTAAATAGTGTATGTCCCTCATTTTTATAGATTAAGAACTTAGATCCTAAGGTGATGTTCTCACAAAAAGAGAATGGCTGGCTGAGCCCCATGCCTGGACCACAGAGCTGTGCATGGCACCTGTTCCTGGACTCACAGGGAACTGGGAGCCTCTTCTAAGCTGGGAATAGCTGCAGATGCTGCCAGAACCCTCAGCTGCCAGAGGCCTCACACAGGGCCCCAAGCAAAGGCATAAGGGGACATCTGAGACCAACGAATAAGTGTACATTCTGTTTCCCACACTTTCCCAGCAGCTACCACACCTGTTGGTGAGCCACAGACTGAAAATAGTGAAGGAGCCCACTCCTGCTTCTGACTCACTGTGAGAGGGATAAACTCTATCCAGCATGACATTTAAATCAGTCAAGTGATTAACTGCACAATTTGTTGTGTAATCTGACTAGTTCAGATAATACAATAATAATGCTTAACCTTTGTACCCCCTCTACTAGTAAGGCAAATGCTCCAATGTGATAAGAAACAAAGCTGACTATTAAGTTAATAGGAATGGCTGATCATTGTTTATGTCCTTGTCAGTGTTTACAAATGCCTGTAATTCTTTCTTACTTAAGCATAAACTAGAGTGACTATACCATTTTAGTATTCCACCTTTTTCTCCCTGTCCCTGTAGATTAACAAACTGAGAGCTGGTATCTTCTGTAAGGTTCTGGAAGCACTTTCCTTAAAATATCTGAAAACAGCTACACTGATCATGTTTTTTGTTTTAATGATTCTAATTTCAGATCACAGAGACAAGGTCAAGATTGGTAGCAGAGCACTGAATTGGGTGTCTCCTCCTAGCTCACTTACTAACCAGAGCCTCAGGAACTTGGGCAAACATTTTACTTCATAGATCCCTCCTCAGTCATATAAAACAAAGGCCCAGGGGGCTGGGGTGAAGGCTCAATTGACTAATCAACTCCACGTACTAGTGCTTTCATCCCTTATGTGTCCAGCTCCTTCACTTTCCTTCCAGTCCCCAGCATGTGGCCTGGGAAAGCCTTGAGACCCTGCACCCACACATGCGAAACTAGAAGAAGCTCTTGGCTCCTGGCTTTGGATCCGCTCAGCTCCGGCCTTTGCAGCCATTTGGGGAGTGAACCAGTGGATAGAAGATCTTTCTCTCTGTCTCTGCTTCTCTGTTAACTTGCCTTTCCCATAAAAATTAAATCTTACCAAAAACCAAAACCAAAACAAAAAAACCCAAGTTCCGTTAGTTCCAAATTTCACGATTTCATTATTCTTCTAGGAAGCAGCAATAAATGTTGACAAAAAGAAAAGCTGCCACCTGTTCAGAGCATGAGTCCCAATCCCCTTCTTCGGCCCCCCAGAATGCTATTGCACAGCTCGCACACCCATGCTGTGAGCAGGGCCCAACAGACCAGCAGGCTCTAGAGTGCAGGACACAGGGAACATTTTTTTCTGACAGGACAAGGCTACTTATTCATATTCCTAGAGAAAAGTTACATAGCTCAACCAGCAGTTTCACTAAATAATTAATAATAACAATGCACTTCTTCAAAACATATTATGAAGTGTAATAATAAGATATCTTAAATTGTACTTTAAAAAAATGTCGGACACTCAGAGGTGCTTATCTAAGAGAATTAGAAACTATGTCTCCAATAAAATTCATGTAAATTCCCAAGGTAGCATTTTTCACAATAGCCTAAAAGTGGCAAGAGTACAAATATCTCTACTGGTGAATGGATACAACTGAAAACTATACCCATTACAAATTACATCATAAATATAAGTCAACCATGTATATTATGAACTAATAAATAGAATTATTGAAACTAATGAATTAAACTGTAATTCAGTCAAACAGACATAAAAGGATTGAGTACTGACACTTGCAATAACACAGATGAACCTGAAAGCAGCGCACTAAGGAAGTCAGACACAAAAGGACACGTCTTGTATAACTCAACCTTACGAAATGGAAAGAAAAGTTAAGAACTTAGTGACAGAAGGCACACTAGTGCTTGTTATAGGCTGGGAGAAGAGGACATGTGCAGTAACTAATTGCACATATCTGAGTGAAGTTCTTTTCTGGGTGATTAAAAAATATTCTGGAATTGGGTAATGGTGTTGGGCGGCCACAATTGTGAACACACTAAACTCCGACTGATATGGGGAGAAGGTTGCTGGCGAGTGGCAAGAAGTTAAGGGTTGCTAACATTCAAGCTGCATGCACCTCTCCAATCCCATCACCCTTCGTACTGGTTCAGATGGTTGAAGACATGGCAAACCCACTCCTCATCATGCAGCTAAGCTCCATGTTCCATCATGCACCAAATGCCATGACACTTTCCTAAAGATCATCAGTTGCCCTGCACCGTCATCCCAAAACCACCTGTTTTGACCATTCCACCCCTTATGCTATAAAAAAGATGATCCCAGCCTGGGCTGGGGAATGCTTCATCATGAGGCTGCCTGTGTTCATGTCTGAGTGTACACTATTCCTTTACCTTTCAATAAATCTTGATGGGCTAAGTCTAGACAAGGGTCGTTCCAAGCCCAGCCAGGACTCCCAATCCCTATAACAATGATTCATATACTTAAAGAGGGTAGTCTTAGGGCCTAGATTGTGGCGTAACAGATAAAGCTGTCATCTGTGATGCTGGCATCTTATATGGGTATTGGTTAAAGTCCTGGCTGCTCTACTTCCAATCCAATTCTCTGCTAATGTGCTTGGGAAAAGCAGTAGAAAATGGCCTGAGTCTCCCATGTTCCTATACCCACATGGGAGACCCAGAAGAGGCTCCTAGCTTCACATTGGCCCAGGTCAGGCTCTTGTGGCCATTTGGGGAGTGAACTAGTGAATGTGAGCCTCTCTCTCTCTCTCTGTAACTCACCTTTAGACCAAATAAATAGTTATTAAAATTTAAAGAGCAAACTTTTAAAGTGTATGAATTATATATGGCTTGTTTTTACAAAGCCATTTAATATAATTCCATAAATCCCATGGCAAAAAGAGAAGACACACTGGGTAGTATTCAAATTCTTGCCTTAGAATAACTTCTTGGCAAGGGTTTCTGGGTGGAAACAAGGGGTGTGTGTGGTATTCCTACATGTTTTAATGCGTATCGGCATAACATTTAATTTAACAAAAATGAACTCAATCCTATTATGGGTGGTACTCCAATGCTGGGCATTGGGGAATGGAGCAACAAAAACAAAAACAAACAAACGGCTGACTCTATTATAATGAATACGTTTCTATGCATTTTAAGAATTCACTCTAGGGTGCAGAGTGATAGCCTAGTAGCTAAAGTCCTTGTCTTGAACCTACCGAGATCCCATATGGGCGCCGGTTCCAATCCCGGCAGCCCCACTTTCCATCCAGTTCCTTGCTTGTGGTCAGGGAAAACAGTCAAGGACAGCCCAAAGCCTTGGGACCCTGCACCCACGTGGGAGACCTGGAGGAAGTTCCTGGCTCCTGGCTTCGGATTGGCTCAGCTCCGGCTGTTGCGCTCACTTGGGGAATGAATCATAGGACAGAAGATCTTCCTCTCTGTCTCTGTATACATGCCTTTCCAATAAAAATAAATAAATCTTCAAAAATTCGCTTTATTTACATAAGATTTTTAACTGAACTGATTGCTTTCTCTAATGATTTTTGTGCAATCATCATTTGCTTAACCCAACAGTGTCA